TGCTCTGTTGCCCAGGCTGGGGTGCAGTTGCACGATCTTGGCTCACTGCAACTTCTGTCTTCTGAGTTCAAGCGATTCTCCTGCCTTAGCCTCCCCAGTAGCCAGGATTACAGGCATGTGCTGCCACACCCGACTAATTTTTGCTGTTTTTAGTAGAGACAGGGTTTCACCATGTTGGCCAGGCTGGCTGGTCTTGAAGTCCTGATCTTGTGATCTACCTGCCTCGGCCTCCCAAAGTGCTGGGATTACAGGCATGAGCCACTGTGTCCAGCATGCACGTCACTCTTTGAAGCCTTACTGGAACATAAATCAAATCAAATTGTAGTTTGCTGTAAGTTTAAAAGCAAAGAAGGGGCTGGGAACCATGACTCACACTTGTAATCTCACCATCTTGGGAGGCTGAGGTGGGAGGATCCCCTGAAGTTGGAAGTTTAAGACCAGCCCCATTACAAAGTGTAAACCCCATCTCTATGAAAAATTAAAAAATAATTTTTAAAAAAGGAGTCCAGGCATGGTGGCTTACACCTGCAATCCCAGCACCTTGGGAGACTGAGGCAGGTGGGTCACTTGAGGCCAGGAGTTCAAGACCAGCCTGGGCAACATGGCCAAACCTTGTCTCTACAAAAATATAAAAATTAGCTGGGCTTGGTGGTGTGTGCTTGTAGTCCCAGCTACTCAGGAGGCTGAGGCTGGAGAATCACTTGAACCTGGGAAAGTAGAGGTTGCAGTGAGCTGAGATCATGCCTGCACTCCAGCCTGGGTGACAGTGAGACCCTGCCTCAAAAAAAAAAAAGCAAAAAGCAAAAAGAGATGGTGGGAATAGGTCCTGAGCAATGTCAGTGGACATCTGGAAGACATATACCTCAGGGAAGGCCATTACACGTTCTTCAGGTGAAAGGGGTTAACCAACATTCAAAGTCTCATTGTGACCCTCCCTTCTACTCCCTGTCCCATCGTCAGTAGCTGGGACCTCTCCACAGAAGCACGGATCCAAAGGCCACAGGGACCCTCCCTGGGCTCAGATACTATGTCAGTCCAGCAACCCACCCCTCCTCCATAGGTATGAGTTCAGCTCCACAAGGCCTCTCTTCCAATATCCTGCCTTTCAACAATTCTAGCCACGTCTCTGTGTTCCTGCTTTGCACTTTGCCCCACGTGGGGTGGGATCAACAAACTACCATCACCCAAAACTGGTTCGGATGTTGAAACTGATGACACTGCAGATACCAAGAGGTTATGAAGAAGTTTACTATTCATGAGGCTTTTTAGGGGAAGCAAAGCAGGCACCCAAGCCAGTCAGTTGGGCTTCAATGAAAGGAAGGGCAAGTGGCTCTGGGTTTTCTTGTGGTTAGGAGAGCTCAGTGCATTTGTGACAGCAAGGGTTTGCATAGTTTGAACTTCCCCTCTGGTGCAAAGAGGATGTGCCTGGGTTTTTTCAGCTTGTCCAGTTGCGAGCACGTTAAGGGGGAGAGCTTGAAAACTGTTAGCAGACAAACATCAAACATGGGGAGACGCTATTCCAGCTCCCCCAGTTCTGGGGTGGAGGCTACTTAACAGTTGCTACCTCCAACACACCTTGGCATTTTCTTCTTTTCAGCTACTTAAATATAGGACATTTCTTTGTAAGTTCTCTGCTAAGATAACTGGTGTGGTTTCTGGCAACTAAAACCTGGCTGATATAAAATCTCCTTGCTGTTCTTAGCAGGGTTAGCATCAACTTTAAAAGGTGTGGTAGCTGGCATGCAAATATTTACTCCCCTTTTCCTCATCTACCTAATAAAGTGAATGACTGACAAGCATCTCCATCCTCTGGATTCCATTTCTTCATTAAAATTATGAGTTTATAGCTTCTGGCTTCCCTTATTAAGCAAAATCAAGGCGATTTAGGCAAGGAGGAGCTTATAATTTCCTATAAAGTGCATGTCTTGGTGACTGTGTGTCAGTATATGGAGAACATCCTCATTTTTAAAAAAACTGTTGCCTGGTATTCCTTCATAGACGTACTAGTTACTTAACCATTTCTTTACTAACAGCCATTTGTATTGCTCCTGTTACCAGAAAGTGGTCCTGATCCAGTCCCCAAGAGACAGTTCTTGGACCTCACTCAAGAAAATAGTTCAGGTGAGTCCACAAAGTGAAAGTAAGTTTATTAAGAAAGTAAAGAAATAAAGAATAGCTATTCCATAGGCAGAGCAGCCCCAAGGGCTGCTGGTTGCCTATTTTTATGGTTATTTCTTGATTATATGCTAAACAAGGGGTAGATTATTCATGAGTTTTCCAGGAAAGGTGTGAGCCATTACCAGAACTGAGGATTCCTCTCCTTTTTAAGACCATATAGGGTAACTTCCTGATGTTGCCATGGCATTTGTAAACTGTCACAGCACTGGTGGGAGTCTTTTAGCATGCTAATGCATTATAATTACAGTATAATGAGCAGTGAGGACAACCAGAGGTCACTTTCATTTCCATCTTGGTTTTGGTGGGTTTTGCCAGCTTCTTTACCACATGCTGTTTTATTGGCAAAGTCTTTATGACCTGTATCTTGTGCTGACCTCCTATCTAATCCTGTGACCTGGAATGCCTAACCTCCTCAGAATGCAGCCCAGTAGGTCTCAGCCTTATTTTATCCAGCCTCTGTTCAAGATGGAGTTGCTCTGGTTCAAACACCTCTGACACTCCGAATTTTTGCAGGTGAGGAAATGGAACCTTTGAAAGATTAGGTGGCTCACTCTAAGTAACATCATGTACCTGGCAGGGATTTCTATAAAATCATAAGATGTCAGAGACCGTGCTTAAGGAATATTTTTACTTTGAAATACTTTAAGCAAACAGTTAAAAAGAACCCACCACACTAGCCTGTTAAAATCTTAACATTCTGATGCCTCTGCATCAATTTTTAAAAAGAAAGAAAACACAACTGAAGCTCCTATTACCCTCCCCAAATCCATCACCTTCTCCTGCCTTAGGAAGGCAGAATGGTGACTTGCACACATCATTCCAATACGTGACTTTATGCTCAATTCATATTAATTGAATCCACATGAAAGAGATTACTGTGCAAAACAATAACACTTTCTATATGTCCACAATGCTTACATGCCAGACACTATTCTAAGTATTTCACATGCATTACTTCACTGACTGCCCCCCACCCCCAATCACACTGTGAGATTGCCACTACTATCCCATTTTACAGAAAAAGTGAAAAACAAGTAAGTTGAAGTAATGTGCCCACAGATACACAGTATGCTTAACTTTACACAAACAGTAACTTATGTGTAGCTTCTGCAACTTTCTCTGCATAATTTTTCATATATCTGTGTTGAGACATAACTTTCATATTCACTTTCCAAGGACCAAAACCAACCCATTTATTTATCCATTCTTCTGCTGATGAAATGCAGGCTTTTCCCAATCTTGCTACCTAAACAATACTTCCATGAATAGTCTTAAACTCATTTCTCTGTTCACATGGCGCTCCTCTAGGATGTGTCCAGGAGTACAGCTGCGGGGTGGTTAAGTGCACACAACCTTACAAGATTTTGCAAATCACCTGACACAGTATTTCTCACAATTTCTACTTCAAAAGCAGTGTGAATTATCATTGTTCCACACACTTACACACAGGGGCTTTCAAAAATGTGCCAGCTTGATGAGTGTGAGATGGTCTGTATTATTTCACATTTCCCATGCTTTGTCCTCTGCACATGCCTCTGGTCGGAGTCTTGGTCAGCCTTAGGCTGGGGTGGGGCAGCAGGGGTGGGGCACACCTCACTGAACAGGTGACAGAAGGACCTTCAGAGACCTACTCCAGCCCATCTGGCTCTCCTCAACCCCAACTTCAGTTCCTCCAAGGGAGTGGGGAAAAGGTGGATAAGGTTGGAAAGAACCTGAATATTCTCCAGGCCAGGATGAGATACAAGATGAGATCTGGTGCTCAGACTAGGGCAATCAGAAACTTGTCAACAAGAACCATAAAGCTCAGAACCACCCAAAGCCAGGTTCCTAACCAGCAGGTGTGTGCCTGTGGGTGGCTTCCAGTCAACATTTCACTCCACAGCCCCTTAAAATAACCCCAACCCTGACTTAGCCAAACTAAATTCAGTTCCTGATTTCTTAACGGGAAATTTTGTGCAAGATCTCTTCTGCATGGCAACAGATAAATAAGCACCCAACCCTGCTTTCCAGAGTGCTTGGTCTAGCTATGGTGATAGGCATAACCAAAAATACAACCACCACCTGACACAGGCATCAAGAGATGTGGGGCCCGGGGCTTAGAGGCATGGGGGTCAGACAAGGTCAGGCCTTGAAGAATGAAGAGCTGGACTGGCACAGACAGGGGTGTGGCACTCCAGGTGAAGGGAGGCAGAACAAGGCAGAACACGCCAGGGGGTTGGGGTGGGGAGGGGACAGGAAAGCCAAATCCAACACTGATTCTGCAAAAATCTTTAGTAGTTAGCACCAAGTAGTGAGGCTTTTATTTTTTTCCCCTTTCAGCTAATCTGAATTTATTAATATTTATGTAATTATCACATAGTACTTATGGAACTAAAATTATTTGAAAACTCAGGTTACTGGACAAATGGCATCAGTATAAACCCAAATATAAATGGCTTACTTCAGGATAAAATAATTTGTTTTTCACTTCATCTTTGCACATTTTAAAATTTGATTAGAATGTTTAAAAATAAGAACATTTCATTCTATAAAAATGACAATAGGTCAGGCACAGTGGCTCACGCCTATAATCCCAGCACTTTGGGAGGCAGAGATGGGAGGACTGCTTGAGTCCAGGAATTTCAGACCAATCTGGGCAACAAGGAAAAAAAATTAAACTTTTGTCTCCACAGAAAAAATATTTAAAAATAGCTGGCATGGTAGCAAACACCTGTAGTCCCAGCTACTCAGGAGGCTCAAGTGAGACACCTGAGCCTGGGAGGTCAAGGCTCCAGTAAGCTGTGATCCTGCCACTGCACTCCACCCTGGGCAACCCTGTCTCAAAAGAAAAAAAAAAAAAAAAAAAAAACAGGAAAAATATCCCTATACTGGGGCAAGAACTTTACAAGGTGCCCCATGGCAAAAGGGGCAGAGATAGGGGTAGGGGGTGCTAAAAATGTGGACAGAAAGGGGCATTGCCATAGTTACAACACCAACTGACATGGAAGCTGCACCTCTGTGAGGGTCCTGGTCCTAGAGGTTAACCATCTAACAGAGAGCCCTGGTAAACCAAGCCCTCTTTTACCAATCTCAGGAGTCAGGTAACACAGACAAGCACTCTAACTTCACACAGAGTGATGCAGAGGTTCATTAACTTGCCCAAGATCATTCCCATCACGAAAAGGCACACCATGCCTGGAACCCAGATCTGATGATGCCAACACCCTTCCTGTAACTCTGGCCTCTGCCCAGCCACTTCTACTGCCAGTTTTGGGACAGTGAAGGGACATCTTCACTGCCATGAGCAGCTGCTGCCATAGGAAGGCAAGAGGATGGCAGAACCAAGATGATCAAACCTTCCTGAGGACAAAGCTGAACAGGCATCAGAACACCAACAGGAGACGTCTGCCCTGTCCCAACCATCCTGTGATACCACTACACCATATCAGAGCCTTCATTCTCACCTGCTCATGACAATCCAGAGAGGATAAGATTACTCTGTACTCTACTGAAAAAGACATCTTCCAGGTTGGTTTCTCCTCATTATAAGAAATGACCAGCTCCATGAATGGGTCCTACTAATTGCAGTAAAATGCAGTCGGGGACACTGCTCTACTATTAGACATTAAGACATTTTATCCTTACATTTATAATCTGACATCTTCAATAATCAGAAGCAATGATTACTCACATACTTTAGAAATTTCAATCTTTTGCCTTTAAGTAATTGATTCTTGCTTTTTGCTTCAAGACAAGTAGGTGGGCCAGTGAGGGAGCTCCTCCCAGAACAGACCACCCTTTTCTCCCGAGGGCAGCAGGCACATGCGCTGGTTCCTTTGGGTTGAATCTGATGCCAGCACCAGATCTCATACATGGAGAGGGGTATATGAAGGCGAGAGGGGGTATGTGAGGGCGAGAGGGGGTATGTGAAGGTGAGAGGGGGTATGTGAGGGCGAGAGGGGACCTGCAGTGTGCAGAGGCTAGAGATGTGCACACAATGCTAAGCGTTTACATCTGCTGAGGCCAAGGATTCTACAGAAAATTCAGAAATGGAGTGAGGAGGAGTCTGACTTATGGGAACTAGCAGCAAGGATAACTTCATGAGAAGCCCTTCAACCATTCCATTTTACTGAGTCTTTGGATCTATGGTTAACCCCTGTAAAATGTAATTCAGATTCAGATCATATCACTCCTCAACTCAAAACTGTCCAAAAGCTCTCTGCCTTCCTCTGAGGCAGCTCAAGCCCCCGTAATGACCCATGAGGCTCACGTCGCTCCCTGACCCCTCTCCTCCCCTTCCAGCTGGCTCCCTGCACTCCATCCCAGGGGCCTCCTTGCTATCCTGAGGACATCAGACAAGACCCAATCTCCTCTGCCTGCAACTCTCCCTAGAGAGCTATCTGGCTTGCTCCCTGGCCTCCTTCAGGTCTTTGCTCAAATTTCACCTTCTCAGTTAAGGCCCTCCCTAATCAGACTATTTAAAATCACAATTGACTTCCCAATCCAGCACACCCCCTCACTCTTCTCTGATTCACTTTGTCTACCACACACACATCACTATCCGGAATACTAAATATCCCATTTGTTTGTCAACTATAAAGATCCAAGATGGCAGGATTTTCATCTGTTCTGGTCTCTGCTGGGTGTCCAACAAATACACCAGTGCCTGGTGTAGAGGAGGTGATCAGCACGTTTCTGTTAAACAGATGGACCACTGCTGCCTGTGCAGGCCTGTGGGATAGGAATGGCAACAGGGTACTGATAGAGCTCCACATGCCAAGCGCTTGAGCCCAGCATCTTGCTGTCCTCCACCAGCCACTGAGACCACTCTAACCCCCTAGCAGATATCCAAAAGCTAGCTAGAAAGGCTAAAGCCCCAGCCAAAACTCCCCAGGGGGCATTTGGGAAGACTAGGAGTTCTTGATGCTGCTGCTTTTAGTCAACAGAATAAGCATGGCCATAGGCCAAACTCGAAGATAAATCTAGGATCCCACTGGCCCCTTTCCAGAAGCCACAGACCGTGACGCCACAGACATTTTATCCAACCACAAAGGGCAATGGTTTTTCTCTTCAGAGTTGTGGAAGGAGACCTGACAGGGGGAGCTGCAGGCTATGGTACAGACGCCAATCCTAGGGGCCCAAGTCTCCAGAAGGGCTCCAAAGAACATGCTGCTGCATTTCCCCAGCGTCACATCCCAGCAGGCAGGCTGAAGACTCCCCGAGCCTTTAAATCCTTGGGATTCTGTCACTAGCTTCCGAAATAGAAAGGGCTGGGCCCTTTGTGAAGGTTTCCCCACACTGCCTAAAATTAAGGGTTCTCTAGTAGGGGACTGAGAACTCACTCCCATTGTCACTGTCAGACCCCGGGCTAATCTCTAATATGGTTTTTCATATGCCGAGCCAGATTGGAAGACCATCTGAAGGTCTTCCCACACTTGCTGCATTTGAAGGGTCTCTCTCGAGTATGAAATCTCTTGTGGCTAATGAGTTGTGAACTCTTGGTAAAAGTTTTCCCACATATGCTACATTTGTGGCACTTTTTCCCAGTGGTTATGTCCTGGAGCTCATCAAGCCTGGAGCTCTGGTCGCAAGCTTCTTCACAGTCTTCGAGAGGCATTTCTTCACTTGGTTTTAATTTCTGCAATCTCAACTTTGTGTCCTGAGAGGAAGATAGCCCAGGCGGGCTACGTTCAGCCTGTGCTGCTCTGGTGTGTTTACTCTGGTGACTAGAAAGGGTCTGTCTCCCAATGAACTCTTTCCCACACCACTGACATTTGAAAGGTCTCTCTTTAGTGTGGATCCTCTGATGGTTAACAAGGCGATAGTTTCTATCATATGATTTCCCACACAGATTACATTTATAGCGCTTCTCTCCACTGTGTATTCCCTTATGATCTAAAAGGGTTCTTTTACGTGTAAAGGTTTTCCCACATTCTTGACACCAAAAACGTTTCTCACCAGTGAGGATTTTTGGCTCCACATCTGGAGTCTTTTCACTTTCATGGCAATCATACTGTTTTTGAAGAGAGTGAATCCTCTGATGTCGGTAGAGATTAGAACTCCACCTGAAGGCTTTCCCACACTCCCTGCACTTATATGGCTTCTCTCCAGTGTGAACTCTCTGATGGATGAGGAGGAATGAGTGATTGCGGAAGGCCTTGCCACACTGGCTGCATTGGTAGGGCTCCTCTCTGGTGTGACTGCTCTGAGGAACCTGGAACACTCTGTCCTGACTAAAAGATGGCCCACCCTCAGGTTTTCCTTTCATGGCATGCTTCTTCTTATGAACAATAAAGGCTGACCTATAGGCAAAGTCCTTCCCACATTCGCCACACTGGTATGGTTTCTCACCTGTGTGAATTCTCTGGTGGTCAATGAGAGTTTTCTTTCTAGTAAAAGTTTTCCCACACTGCTGACACAAAAATGTTTTCTCCACAGTGGGGGCACTGTGGGGCTGACTGTGGTCAGGGGCTTGCCTGAAGTCTTCACGACATTCATCTTGTTTGTAGAATTTTTCCTCCTCATGCAACCTCATATGACGAGTAAAGTTTGATCTCCACCTAAAGGTTTTCCTACATTTGTTACATTTATAGGGCTTCTCCTGGGTGTGAATCCTTTGATGTTCAAGAACATATGATTTACAGTGGAAAGATTTCCTGCACTGGCTGCAGTCAAAGAGTTTCTCTCCGCTTTGGTCTCCCAAATGATGATCAAACCCTGAGCTGTAGGTAAGAGCTGCCCTATACTGATTCAATTCAAGAAATTTCTTCTTAGCATGGGTTTCCTGGTGCAGACGATAGGCTGACAGACGTCGGAAAGCTTTCTCACATAAATCACATTTATAAGGTTTCACTCCAGTGTGAATTTTCTCATGCCGTGCACAGTTGGAACTCCACCGGAAGGCTTTCCCACACACTCTACATTTAAATGCTTTCTCTTGACTGTGAAGTCTCTGATGATATGCAAGATGGGAGCTATGACTGAAAGTCCTTCCACAGTCACTGCACTTAAAAGATACTCCCACTGTGTGAAGACTCTGCCCATGCTGGTGATGAGAGCTAAGGCTGAAGTCTTTTCCACACAAATCCTTTTTGCTCCCTTTCAGTCCAGTATGAATTCTCTGATGTATGCTGAAGCCCCCAATCATGTGTCTGAGCCCCTTCCCATATTTCTTGTAGTCATAGTGGTGTGAACTCATTCTAAAGTGTTTGCCACAGCCATGTTTAAGGGACTGCTTTCTTCCAGAAACTCTCAAATATGTAACATGTTTTAAGTCAAGACTATTACCTCCTGATACTTCACAGTCTTTTCCTGTCCTGTGACTGAAATCAGTCTCTTCTTTCTTAACTCTCACTTGTATGGGGTTTTCACATTGATCCTTCAGCCTGCTCTGTTGAAAAGATTCTCTGAGCCCAATTCCCTCAGAAACACTTGCTGCGGGACATTCTGATGACACAGCTAAGGTTTCTGCTCCTTCCAAAGGTTCCTGATTTACGATGAATTTCTTTGTTTTAATTTGAAGGTCACCTCCTGACAAAAAATAAAACAAGAGAGAATGTACTCTTTTTCCATACTTAGAACTGCAGAAAGCACCAAAGGGCAATAAAATGCCTGGGTGGTGAGGCTTTTGCCTGACTGCCAATACCTTTACAAAATAGTCAAACATAAGGCAAAACATGGAAGATTATCCCAGATAACAGGGAAGGGAGGAGAAAAGCAAGATGTGCAGGGCAGGTAGAGATATGCAGACATCACATCCAGCAGGGAAATAAAAAGGATTAAAAAGAAAGTGTTAAACAACCAGAGTAGGAGAAGAATCATGGCATTATAGAAAGGTACCCAAAAGCCAAGGGGTGGGGCTCCAAGGAGCACCTGGCTGAAAGGGCTAGAGATCAGCCTATTACAGAAGGAAGGATCAAGAAAAGAAAGAACAGGGGTGGGATGAGGACTCCTAAGAGCAGGAAGGGGTGAGTACAGGGGATTCAGCAGGAGTGCAGGCCAGGAGTGAGGGCACAGGGCTGAGGAGGAGCACCAGTGAGTGGAAGAGAGGAACAGTGAAGCCCTCCAGTAGGCAAGAACTATTATTGAGAGGGCTGCTGGGGAAGGGGGATGGGAAAATAGCCATGGTCAGAAATGAATGACCTCTTAGAAGCCAGCCAGGATGGAATGGAAGAGTGGCCCAAGCACCCTTAGGAACACTGTTAAACATCTTCCTTCTAGCAAACAACGGAATAAATTCCCAGTAACGTACCTCACCTTAAGAAAGAGAAAAGTAAAAGCAGGAGGAGCAGGACCTGGCAGGTTCTCTGGAACTCACCTGTAGGGGCAGCACCTGGATTCCCCTTAGGCTGAGCTACTTGCACGTTCAGGCCCCACGGCTCCCTTGCTTCCAACCAGGAGATCAGAGCAGGTTTGGTGAATGGTCCCACTGCAGAAGAGAAGGGAATGGGAGATGGGAAGGGAGATGGATGACACAGAACTACTCTCTAGGACCTCTGGGCCTGAAGTCCTGGTGGGGAGGTGGGAAAGGCCAGGAAGGCAGGCAGTGAAAGCTAGTGAAGGAACCCCAGTCATTTCAAATAGCCCTGAGCAGACAGAGATAGGAGAGGTTGAGAGAAGTTGGCAGCAAAAAGATTACTAGAATTTTCCGGAGGTGAGAACATGGCTACTTAATTGGCTGCATCAGCCAACATTTTTTGAATGCCTAAATGGACTAGGAACTTAAAACATACTACCTTTAATCCACTGTTTTTGTTTGCTTGTTTTCAAATAGGTTCTCACTCTCTTACCCGGGCTGGAGTACAGTGGCTTGATCTTGGCTCACTGCAGCTCTGACCTCCTGGGTTCAAGCAATTCTCCAGCCTCAGCCTCCCAAGTAGCTGGGATGACAAGCGTGAGCACCACATGCTTGTATTTTTGTATTTTTTGTAGAGACAGGGTTTCACTATGTTGCCCAGACTGGTCTCAAACTCTGAGCTCAAGATATCTTCCTACCTGGCCCTCCCAAAGTGCTGGGATTACAGGTGTGAGCCACCACATCCAGCCACCTTTAATCTTTACAACAATCCAGAATGGCAGGCATTATTCGCCCCATTTTTCAAAAGGGGATACCAAGATGCTGGATTAAATGATCTGGTTAGTAGTTACAGAGCCAGGATCTAAAACCAGGTCAGGTCCCTTTCTATGCAGCAGAAAACAACCCAAGAAGGCAGAAATAAAGACGGATATAAGCACAAGGATATTAATTACTTACCCAGGAAGGCCATGTTCCTATAATTCTCCAGCATCACATCCCTGTATAGGTTTCTCTGAGCTGAGTCCAGCAACCCCCACTCATCCTGGGAGAAGGTCACCTCCACATCCTTGAAAGTCATAGTCTCCTGCAAAAACACTGTGCCCTAGAGCTGGTCCACAGCTCCCAGCTTTGAGGTGGAAGGGGAGGGAAGGGGAATAAATTGGCTCTGTGTGAGTACAGGATGGACCTGGCAAAGATGAAAGGGAAGACCATCACCCAGCAGAAGAGCTCTGGGCTCAAAGGGGATTATCTGGTCTCTGGGACATGGGTCTTTGGATGTGAGGTTACTAGACAGAGAAACCCAGGATGGGGGAGCAGCACTATCTCATTAGGCAGTGATGTGGAGACATCAGGAAGGAACGAACGTCCTGTGGCTCACCTGGAGCTGAGCTGTCAGGGACCTGGTTGCTGTTACCTGGTCTCCTGGGCACCCCTCTCTCTGGAAAAGGGCAGGCATCTGGGCAGCAGGAGGATCTGAAGGAGAAAAAGCCATGAGAGAGTGGCTCAGCTCTGGATAGCCCACTGAGAAACCCACTCTTCCCCCCAGTAGAGGATTCCTGGACCCATGAGCAGGTACAGAATGTTGTTAAATACCCATCTCACATGTCCTCAGTCTACTGGGGCCAGGAAAGGGGTAGTAAGAGGGGATGTAGTAGGGGAGGAGTGAGCCACATATGGGTCATAGAATGGATGGAGAGGACACAGAATTAAGAGCCAGGACAGAATAAGATTCTCATGAGAGGACAGATGTGAAAAGACAACACTACAGGAAATGCAAAAGGTGTGGCATAAGGCTGGGGTCTTAAGGCCAGGCAGCAAGTACCGGATTGCCCAGCCAGGAAGTCACGTGCTTCTATTTCATAGGGAGGCTCCAGGTGGTCCCCCAGAGCAGAGCCGCTCCTGAGAGGTGAAGCAAGAGACCATATCTGTGCAGATCGCAGGGCTCCTGTACCCATCCAATGCACATCTGGGCTCTGGGCAGGGCCCGGGTCCTGGCAAGAAGAAAATGTTGTGAGAGGATCTTTCTGGGAATCAGAAAGCAAACTCAGAGAAGAGGCCACATGGCCGATCTCCAAAGGACAAAGACCGAGGGGTGGGTAAGCCAGGTCCTTCATTACTTCCAGACAGGAGAAAAGGGCAAGAAGAAAGCCCAGGGGGTACCTCCAACCACCTCAGTCTCCTCGGGCTCTAATGAGAGCCATGGGAGAGTTCAGGTAGAGAGACTCCAGCTCAACACAAGGAAGCACATGGTAAGTCAGTACAGCACTCTTGTCGGGCCTCAGATGACACAGTGTCACCTTCCCACTACCCCTCAGTTCCCACCCAAGGCCTGTAACTTAGAAATGAGAGAGAAGGAACTAGTTCCTGAGAATTAAATTCATAATAGTTCACAGCAGAGATACAGTCAAGTAATATTTACTATCAAGCACTGCTCTAGGCACTGATATACAAAGTGACCTCAAAGAGTCAGGCTAGCTCCCAAATTGTAAACTTGCCTTTAATAATAACACTGATAGAGAGGAAATGCCAATCATGAGAGTCAGCCATAAAACCACAGAAGAAAAAGTCTCCAGTGTAAAAAATGGCAGTATCCATCTAAGTAGAGACCAACAAAGAGGAGGTGTTTGCCCTGAAATTTCAGATAACTCTGGTCTCTGAGGCAAGGATGTCCCTCATATAGAGATGGGTAAAAGAAACTGCAATTTGAGATTTTTCTGGTCCTGTGGCCGAGACAGTCTCTATAGTGAGATTTTTCACACTGTGATAATTTTGCTTAACCACAGACTGATTCTGTAACTTTACATGTATCTTAAAGCATTTCTTTTCATTTTTCAAATTTCGGGGAGGCTTTCTCCCAGCCCCCATTGTCTTCTAAGTGGCTTTCAACCAGGTAGGCCTTTTCTGCTTATGTGGAAATGTTTCCATGGATTTAAAAAATTACAACTAGCTGTAAATGAGTTGAATATAACCAAGCCATGATTTTGTAACTACTGTGTAGCTTATTTCCTTTTATAAATTATTCTCAGGTCCTTTTGAACATTTGTTTTGGTGAAAATAACAAACGTTCTTTAAAATTTTTTTAAATAGCACCCCATGTTGGGCAAAAATATTCTCTAATAGTTATACCCTGTGTTTTATTTATTAACATTTACTGCTGGTAGACCCTGTCCTGATATTTTACTTAATTTTTTTTTTTTTTTTTGAGACGGAGTTTTGCTCTTGTTACCTAGGCTGGAGTGCAGTGGTGCTATCTCGGCTCACCGCAACCTCCACCTCCTGGGTTCAGGCAATTCTCCTGCCTCAGCATCCTGAGTAGCTGGGATTACAGGCACGTGCCACCATACCCAGCTAATTTTTCTGTATTTTTAGTAGAGATGGGGTTTTCACCATGTTGACCATGATGGTCTCGATCTCTTGACCTCGTGATCCGCCCACCTCGGCCTCCCAAAGTGCTGGGATTACAGGCGTGAGCCACCGCGCCTGGCCTTATTTTACTTAATTTTTATAATAAAGTTTTAGAGACAAGTATGTCAAATTTGTTTCAGAATTTTATTTTTTAGACAGAGTTCAAGCAATTCTCCTACCTCAGCCTCCCGAGTGCTAGGAATACAGGTGAATGCCACCATGCCCAGCTAATTTTTGTATTTTTAGTAGAGACTGGGTTTCACCATGTTGGCCAGGATGGTCTTGATCTCTGGACCTCATGATCCACCTACCTTGGCCTCCCAAAGTGCTGGGATTATAGGCGTGAGCCACTGCACCCAACCACAACTTTCATTTGTACATGAATTATGTATGCAGATTGTGTGTGTGATATATATATATATACATATATATAGATATATATATATATTTTTTTTTTTGAGACAGAGTCTCGTTCTATTGCACAGCCTGGAGTGCAATGGTGCGCTCTCAGCTCACTGCAGCCTCTGCCTTCCAGGTTCAAGCAAATTTCCTGCCTCAGCCTCCGGAGTAGCTGGGACTATAGGCACATGCCACCACACCCGGCTAATATCTGCACTTTTAGTAGAAACGGAGTTTCACCATATTGGCCAGCCTGGTCTCGAACTCCTGACCTCAAGTGATCCACCCATCTTGGCATCCCAAAGTGTTAGGACTACAGGCGTGAGAATCATATATTTTAATGTAAATAAAATTGTAAAGAAGGCTAAAAAAGTGATCAATGCTTTTTTAAAAAACTGAAACAATATAGTTTAGCTCCCCTGTGTACAGCAGAAGGAGCAGGAAGAATGCACCTGAACTGACCTGCTACCACCCCATTGCCAGGCCTGGGACTGCCAATTCTTCCAGGGCCAAGCACATAATAAGCACTCAAATATTTACTGAACAAATTGTCATGATTAGACCATTTCTGAATTTTCTTCTCAATGAACAGAGGTTCTGAAAGGTACGATGATGTGGCCATGGACACTGAGGTTGTGGAATGATGCCTAAAATCGAGGTCTTCCTATTTCTCAGCTCAGCGCTGCCCCTCAGCACTCATGTCCATCTTCCCTGTCTCCCATCTCATACACACAGAACAGGTCCCCAAAAACTTACTGAGAAGTGCTGGGCACAGTGGTTCACGCCTGTAATCTCAGCTTTTTGGGAGGGTGAGGCAGGTGGATCACCTGAGGTCAGGAGTTCAAGATCCGCCTGGCCAAAATGATGAAATCACGTCTCTACTAAAAATACGTGGTGCTGCATGCTTAAAAAAAAGCTTACTGAGAAGAAAGCTACATGGTGCCTGCAGAGTGCTCTTCTGAGTTTTAACATGTACTCTCCCACTGAGAAGCCAAGAGCCCTGACCCTAAGTGCTGTCCCAACCCCTGCCATTTTACAGGGCTATGGTTAGTCTCAACTAAAATTAGATAATATGTGGAGATGGACTTTGTATACTGCAAGCCACTGTGTCCAAAGACTAGTTACTGGCCTTTTTTGTTTTTGAGACACGGCCTTGCTGTGTCACCCAGGCTGGAGTGCAGTGGTGCAAACATAGCTCACTGCAGCCTTGACCTCCTGGGTTAAAGCAATCCTCCCACCTCAGTCCCCCAAGTAGCTGGGACTACAGTCACATGCCACCATGTCCAGCTAATTTTTGTAGAAACAGGGTTTTGCCACGTTGCCCAGGCTGGTCATGAACTCCTGCGCTCAAGCAATCTACCCACCTTGGACTCTAAGGGCTTGGATTACAGGTGTGAGCCACCATGCCTGGCCTAATTTTTAAATTATTTATAGAGACAGTAGGGGGTCTCCCTATGTTGTCCAGGCTGGCTTGAACTCCTGGGCTCAGGTAATCCTCCCACTTCAGCCTCCTAAAGTGCTGGGAATACATGTGTGAGCCACGGTGCCCAGAAGTTACTGTTATTTATGGAGGCTTGCTGGCCTTATCTGGAGCTGATATCCCTTTGGGTATATCCTAAAGGGTCCACGGCTCAGGGTCCCGTTCTCAGCTGCTCAGGAACCACGGGAAGAAGGGAAGACTTCCCCTGCATTCCTCTATACTGACAGTTCAGAGGGCCACCCTCATCCCCAGACAAGCTGGCTAACCAGCAGGCAGAGTTCCCTGGGCACCACACACTTGCTCACACTCACCCTATGTGATGTCCCATCAAGGTCCCTCTGCAGCTCCTCCAGCAAGGCCACAGCCTCCTCACCACTCTCAGGGTTATGGAGCTGCACCCAGACCCGGAGCTCCCCAGGCAGGATGCTCAGGAACTGTTCCAGCACCAGCAGCTCCAGGATCTGTGCCTTGGAGAGAACATCAGGCCTCAGCCACCAGCGACAGAGTTCCCGGAGCCGGCTCAGAGTTTCTAGGGGCCCAGAAGACTCATGGTAGCGAAGCTGTCTGAAGAGCTGGCGGAACAGCTCCTGGCCAGGGCGGTTGAGTGTCTGTGGCCTGGCAGTCTGCACTGGAATATAGCTTTCATCCTCTTCTTCCTTCTTTACTGTCTGAAGCCGCCCTCGCTCCCTTGAAGACTGGGCCTGAGCTGGATACACAGCATGCCACCTGCCTGGAGGCATCACTCCTGTTCAGGGACTACCCAGAAGAGCACGAGCCAAGTCCACCTTAGATGCGGGTCCTCAGAAGTATCTTCTCAGCATTGCAGTGAACAATGCCATTTGCTGAGCCATCAGAAGTCTTTGGCAAGTGACTGAAATAATCAGCATTTCTGTGCAGGAGGGGATGAGAGAATGATGTCCATTATACATGGTGCAGTTGGATCCTGGTGGTTGGGATCATCTTTGTATGTATGAGAAGAGCATTTGCACAGATGTACATGCCAGTATCAGGCAGACCAGAGTTAGGTTGTCCCCTATTGGAGTAAGGTAAGAAAATATCCTACATTAAAACATATGCTGAACTTGTACATTAAAACTTTGTAAAAAACACAAAGCGAAAAAAGTCAGAGGAGATCTAAATAAATGAACAGACATACTATATTCATGTACTGGAAGATGTGACACAGTAAAGATGTAAATTCTCTCAAAATTGATCTACAGGTCTAATGCAATTCCTACTGAAATCTCAACAAGATCTTTTTGTAGATGAACAGACAAGATTATTCTAAAATTTATGTGAAAAGCCAATGGAATTAGAATAGCTAAAATTATGACAGGTCAGGCAAGGTGGCTCACACCTGTAATCCTAGCACTTTGGGAGGCCGAGGCAGGTGGATTGCCTAAGCTCAGGAGTTTGAGACCAGCCTGGGCAACATGGTGAAACCCCATCTCTACTAAAAATACAAAAACTTAGCTGGGCATGGTGGTGTGTGCCTCTAATCCCAGCTACTTGGGAGGCTGAGGCACAAGAATCACCTGAACCTGGGAGGCAGCAGTTGCAGTGAGCCGAGATCACACCACTGCACTCCGGCCTGAATAAGACAAGACTCTGTCTCAAAACAAACAAACATGCCAACAAACAAACAAAAAACAATTATGACAAGAATAAAGTGGGAGGGATCAGCCTGAAAACAGTCTACCTGATTTCAAGACTTATAGCTACAGTAATGAAGACTGTGTAGTATTGGTGGAGGAAGAGACACATAGATCAATGGAATAAGACAGAAAAACCAGAAACAGAACCTCACAAGTATGCCCAACTAAACTGTTTAATATTAAATGTGATTTTCCTATTATAATATTTTTAAATATCTCAAATGAGCAATTCAAAAACCAAAGAAAATGCTGACTGAGAATCCCCTAGTTGACTTTATGACCCAACAATGGGTTACAAATTATAATTTGAAAACTACCCTAATCCAGCTTCCCACTCAATCTTTGTATTTCTTTTTATAATTCATCATAAAATGTGGTATCCAAGGGTTCAAGCCACTTTTAGGAGATAGCACTTTGGGCAGCCAAGGTGGGTGGATGCCTTGAGGTTAGGAGTTCAAGACCAGCCTGACCAACATGGCAAAACTCCAACTCTACAAAAAATACAAAAAATTAGCTGGGCATGGTAGCATGTGCCTGTAATCCCAGCTACTCAGGAGGCTGAGGCACAAGAATTGCTTGAGCTTAAGAGGCAGAGGTTTGCAGTGACCCGAGATCTTGCCACTGCACTCTGCACTCCAGCCTGGGCAACAGAGCGAGACTCCATCTCAAAAAAGAGACTATCTGGAGTATATTTTGAGCTCTGAAGGATGTTTGTTTCTTCATACCTGGGGAAGGAGCTTGTGCTACATATCACATCACTATGTAGGAGTCCACACCTGTGATACACCCAACTGATTTTTATTTCTTTTTTAAGGCAAGGTCTTTTGCTGCTGCCCAGGCTGGAGTGCAGTGGTGTGATCATGGCTCACTGTAGCCTCAAACTCCTAGGCTCAAGCGATCCTCTTGCCTCAGCCTTCTGAGTAGCTGAGACTACAGGCATGTGACACCACACCCAGATAACTTAAAAATTATTTTTAGAGATGGGGCCTATGTTACCTAAAACTCCTGGCCTCAAGCAATCGATCCTCCCACATCAGTCTCCTAAGTAGCTGAGATTACAGGCATGAGCCACTGAGCCCAACCTCCAATCGATTTTTGATAAAGATACAAAAGCAGTTCAAAAGAGGAAGGGTAGTCTTTTCCCCAAATGTTGCTGAAGCAACTGGACATCCATAGGCAAAATAAGGAAAGCTGACTGAAATCTCGCCTCTTATACACTTGAATTCAAAATGGATCACAGACTTAAATGTAAGCCATAAAACTATACAATTTTTAGAAAACAACACAAGAGGCTGGGCTTGGTGGCTCACACCTGTAATCCCAGCACTTTGGGAGGCCGAGGTGGGAGGATCATGAGGTCAGGAGATTGAGATCATCCTGGCCAACATGGTGAAACCCCGTCTCTACTAAAAATACAAAACCTAGCTGGGCATAGTGGCGCACAACTGTAGTCCCAGCTACTGTGGTGGCTGAGACAGGAGAACCGCTTGAATCTGGGAGGCGGAGGTTGCAGTGAGCCGAGATTGTGCCACTGCACTCCAGCCTGGGCAACAGAGTGAGACCCCATCTCAAAAAGCAAACAAACAAAACCACATAGGAGAAAACCTTTAGGATCTAGGATGAGGCAAATAGTTCTTAAGTTTGATACCTGTGATATGATATACATACACGTTGGTCCTTATCCATGGTTCATGGCTCGTAACTCCCATAGCCCTTGTTATTTCCTGAGTGACTAAAACAATAAGCATATCTTTTGTTAAATTATTTGGCCTTTGTCCTTGGTTCCTGAAGCAGCTTTGGAACTTCAGAGTGATAAAGGTAAGGTAGCCTTTTGTTATAATATTGGGGCATTTTAGGCCTCAGAAGCAGGGCTCAGAAAATAGAACATCTCTCTCTGACCTTTTCCTGCCCTCCCCTCACTGGTTCCTTTTTCTCCCCCCAAGGCAGGCCATAGAAACTAAAATATATGGTAATCTTTCCCCCTTTTCTGTCTTGGTGCTGGCCATAAATTCTCTGACCTATTTTATCTGATTGTAAGTCATAAGAGCCCCATTTCAGAAGTCCTGCCTCATATTCAGTAGGTAGGAATGCTGTACAGAGAGACCAAGAAGAATTTGAACTGACAGCCTCACTGAGTGTCCCCACTCAGTCTATCATTTGAACTGACAGCCTCACTGAGTGTCCCCACTCAGTCTATCAGTATGAGATCAAACTTTTTGTCCAGTCACATTTTACATGGTTGTCCATGGTTCAATCATGCTTACCCAATGAAGTCTCCATAAAGGGTCCAAGAGGATGAGGTACAGAGAACTATGGACAACTGCACTCGGGGAGGCTTGCAGGAAGGAACAAGAACTCATCCATGTGCCAGGATAGTGACACATCCCAACTCCACAGGAACGAAAGCTCCTGTACCTAGAACACTGCCAGACCTCCCTCTATGTATCTCTTCATCTAGTTGTTTATTGTATCCTTTAAAATATCCTTTACAATATATTGAGAAATGTGTTTCCTTGAGTTTTGTGAGCTGCTCTACCAAACTGAGCAATAACCAATCAGAAAATTAATCAACACAACAACAAAATAAAACACCCAGAAGTAAAGCTAATAAAAAATGTACAAGATCTTAAAAAAGAAACAGAAAACCTTGCCAAAAAAACTTAATAGATCTGAATAAATCTTAAGTATGGGAAGACAAATCTTTTTAAGATGCCAATTCTCCCTAAAGTAATGTGTGGTTAATAAAATCCCAAACAAATTCCAGTATCTCTTTTTAGGGCTTGATAAGCATATTCTAAAATTCAAGCAAATGAGTAAGAGGCCAAGAATAGCCAAGATAACTTTTTAGAGGTGAAAAGGTTTGTTCTACTTGACATTAAGGCTTACTATAAAGCTACATTAATGAAAACATTGAGTATTACTGAAGAAATATGCAAATAGTAAATAAAAGAAACAGTACGGCTGGGCACGGTAGCTCCTGCCTGTAATCCCAGCAATTTGGGAGGCCAAGGCGGGCAGATCATCTGAGGTCAGGAGTTTGAGACCAGCCTGGCCAATATGGTGAAACCCCATCTCTACTAAAAATAAAAAATTAGCTGGGTGTGGTGGCATGCACCTGTAGTCCCAGCTACTCAGGAGGGTAAGGCAGGAGAACTTCTTGAACCTGGGAGGCAAAGGTTGCAGTGAGCTGAGATTGCACCACTGCACTCCAGCCTGGGCGACAGAGTGGGACTCCGTCTCAAAAAAAAAAAAAAAAAAAAAAAAAAAAGAAAGAAAGAAACAGTATATACAGAATCCTGACAAGAGCTTATGAATAAATATATATTTGGTTTATGATGGAGGTAACAATACAAATCAGTGGAAAGATTAGACTATTCAATGAATTGCATTGGGATAACTGGCTAGCCAAATTAAAATAAAACCACACACTGAGAGAATAAATTCTAGTTAAAGATTTATACTAAAAAAGCACATTCTTTATGTCCCAGGAATTTCCCTTCTAAGAATCTACCCTGAGAGCCAGGCATGGTGGCTCACACCTGTAATCTCACCACTTTAGGAGGTCAATATGGGAGGATCACTTGAGCCCAGGAATTCAAGACCATCTTGGGCAACACAGCAAGACTCCTTTCTATTTAAAAAATAAAATAAAACAAGAATCTACCCTAGAAAAATAGATGCATGGTATACAGACATTTACATGGGTGTACACTAGAGCACTCTGTAACACAATATTGAAAACAACCTACTTTCCCAACAATAGGCCTAAAGAAAAGTGAAACTGCCTTTGCAAAATTATGACTGAGGCTGTGAAAGAGATCTAAATTAACTGACTCCATCTTGCTTCTAATCTTCAAGCTGGCCTTGTTCATTCATGGGCATAGGCTGAATTAACTTTGGGAGAAACTTTGTTTATAGTTTAAACAAAGACAGTAACAGCCCTTTCCCAAAGCAGATCTCCTTCTTGCCTGGGGACTAGATTGCCTTTGCAGGACTAACATTAGCCACCAGATTAAAAATTATGGTTTAGGAGTCATGCAGCTGAAGCTACAAGATTCTGACCCACCCTAAACTGCTCCTAAAATCAATGCCTGAGATATTTTGCAGACTCTGCACTTGATGGATTAGCTGGCACAACCCAGATTAATAAACTGACTCATTTGATCTTGTGGCCCCCACCCAGGAACTGACTTGGGCACAAGAAGACAGTTGTGACTCCCTATGATCTCTGACCGATTAGCACTCCTGGTTCACTGGTTTCCCCCCACCCACCAAATTATCCTTAAAAACTCTGCTCCCTGAATGGCTGGGGAGACTGATTTGAATAACAATAAATTACTGGTGTCCCACACAAACCAGCTCTGCATGAATTACTCTT